AGATGACAAAGGTTTCCCTTTTGTAACCAACCTATAGTTTGTAACCAAACTATTTTCATCATAATTCTAAGACTTTTTCACTGTGCTGATCATTTGTACTGATGATGCAAAAGCAACAGTGGGTAAAACTGTAGCCTGAGTGGCTACAAGGCAGTGGCGCCAAACTGTACTAGTAGTCATTATGTTCCTTACTGCCATGTACTAACAATAAAACAAACCAAAAAATCATTTTCACTATGGCTATCCTAAAGAAACTGTAAGGATTTTATTAAATCTCAACCCATGAGTACACATTTTTAAATATTGTGTGAAGAAATGGGAGTGCACATAAAGTACTTCTGCTACAAGCCCAAGTACAATGGTCAATCCCAAAAAGCACTTGTGTGATTGAGTTGCCAGCTACACTAGCCATACATTGTACACTGTATAGAATGTCATTTTTAGAGAGATCCAACGTGGTGGTGATGTAGGCAAAAACTAAACTCACCTCCTCCCAGGACTAAACTGGAATTACAACTAAATTATAGAATAATCATCCTGGATAACCAACTGAAGACTAGCTGGAGAGAAGTCTTATAACCAAGGATTTACAGAAGAAGTCACATCAAGACTGGTAGGGGGGATATTTCAGCTGCGGGGGGTGAGGGTGGGGGGTGACAGGGTTCTAAACCCCATCCTGGGCCTGCCAGTCCAGAGCACGAGGCTAGGAAGAGGCACCCACATAACATCTGGCTGTGAAAAGCAGCAGAGTTTCTATTCGCCAGGGAAAAGATGGGAGTCCGCTAGAAACACAGACTCCATTCAAGGGCCAATGTACAAAATTTCATTCACAGCCACTCACCCTGAGCTCCTGCAGAGGGAGGGCAAAGCAGACGAGAGTCATTTGAGGAGAGCTTGTGGTTTGTGGCTCTGGAGAGAGAGCTGAAGGGACCAGAATCGCTATGCTAAGTCATTCTCCCACACTGCACATGCCCTGTTTCTTGGGTGTAGCACTCCCCTCCATGCAGCATCAGCCTGGGGGAAAGCAATAGCCCTACCTACCCTCTGGACTCCCTCTCGCCCCACCCTGCAGAGCTTACGCCCTGCTGAGGAGTCAGCTGCCTTGACCAGGGCGTAGAGGTCTGGGAAGACTCACAGGGTGTCAGTGACTGAGTTGTACGGCTTTGAGGCAGGGGACATTCCCTCAACTTTCCTGTGAATTTGATTGGCATTTCCCTCTCATGGGAGATCAGCTGGAACCACCCTTGGGGCTTCCAACAGACCCATCTTCCAGGCTCTAGCTCCAGAGGACCCAACCACCCAACTCTCAATGGCTCTGCCCTGCTGAGGTCAAGGCAAAATCTGGGACAGATTGAGTAGTGTGGCTCTTGGGGGAAGCCAACACATTCCCACCTTACCTGAAGCCTGACCGGCACCTCACCCTCACAGGGAAACAAATGAAGAAATAAACAAATGGGACTACATCAAACTGAAAGGTTTTTGCACAGCAAAGAAAACCATCAACAAAATTAAAAGACAACCCACTGAATGGGAGAACACCTTTGCCAATGATACATTTGATAAGGGGTTAATTTCCAAAATTCATAAAGAACNAGAACATCTTTGCCAATGATACATTTGATAAGGGGTTAATTTCCAAAATTCATAAAGAACTTATAAAACTCAACACCAAAAAAGCATACAATCTAATTTAAAAATGGGCAAAGGGCCTGAATAGACACTTCTTCAAAGAGGACATACAGATGGCCAATAGACATATGAAAAGATGTTCAATGAGAAATACAAATTAAAACCACAATGAGATATCACCTCACACCTGTCAGAATGGCCATCATCAATAAATCAACAAGTGTTGACAAGGATGTGGGGAAAATGGAACCCTCATGCACTGTTCGTAGGAATGCAGACTGGTGCCGCCACTGTGGAAAACAGTATGAAATTACCTCCACTTCTGGGAATTTATCAAAAAAAAATCCCAAAACACTAATTTGAAAGAATACAGGTACCCCCATGTTTATTGCAGTGTTATTTACAATAGCCAAGATCTGGAAATAGCCCAAATGTCCATCAGTAGATGAGTGGATAAAAAAGCTGTGGGACATTTACACAATGAAATACTACTTGGCCGTAAAAAGGAAGGAAATCTTACCCTTTGCAACAACGTGGATGGACCTGGACAGCATTAGGCTAAGTGAAATAAGCCAGTCAGAGAAAGGCAAGTACTGTACCATATGATTTCACTCAGATGTGGAATCTAATGAACAAAATGAATTATCAAGCAAAACAGAGACAGGCTCGTAGACAGCAACCTTACAGCTGTTGAGGGAAGGTGTTGGAGGGCTGGGTGGAGTGATTAAGCAAAAAAGAAAGAAAACTCATGTATAAGAATAGTGTGGTGATTACCAATGAGAGGAGGGGTGGGGAGAAGTGGAGGAAAGTATAGGGGGGATAAATGATAATAGGAGACTTGACTTGGGGTGGTGAATACACAATACAGTGTACAGATGTGTTTTGGAATCATACACATGAAACCTGTATAATTTTGTTAACCAGTGTCACCTCCAATAAATTCAATGAAAAGGAAAAAAAAAAAAGAATGTCATTTCTACTTGAAAGAACAGACAAACTATGGTTATTCAGACTTGGGTGGTTTGGCAGATACTTTTTCCAATACTAAAGTAAGCCTTTCACTTCAGGGAAACTGACAGTATCTGTTGCTAATGATAAAATTCAAGCTTTCAAGAGTAAACAAATAGAAAACATATTTCCACTACCTTGAGTTCAGTAGCTTCCCAACACTTAAACTTTTTTTAACGCTTTGCGGTCATTTGTCTACTCTCAGCCACCAAAGCTTTTTTACCGTTCCGGTCGTATGTCTGCTCTCAGCCACCACAGCAAGGAACCGTATGAATCTTAACTCCATTCATGTATCAGTTCATAAATCTTGTTTATCCTTCATAATCTTGCATGTTATGTATCACTGCTCTTTCGATGGAAATTAATTCCGACCAGTACGACACCTATGTCCAAATTTAATACGACCACAAAGGGTTAAAAAATGAGATAGGTGGTGATATTAATGAATGTGTGTTTTTTGATATTGTGTAATAATATGCCATTGCATAACTCATTGAAGTAACATTTTCCAAATGACCAATGCCTAAGTTATAAAATATGGGTAAAATATCCAATGGAAGAACAAGATAGACAAATGGATTTTAATGTAACAGAGCACAAACAGTTACCATGAAAGGCAATTAAAATATTTCCTGTTACAACTGTATATCTGTGAGAGGCCTTATTTTTTCATACATATCAGCCAAAGTAACAACATAATAATAGTCTGGTTGCTGAAGCCCAAATGAAAGTCTAGCTATTTTCTTTCTTTTTTTAATATGTTTTTATTGATTTGAGAGAGGTAGAGAGAGAAACATTGATGTGAGAGAGCAACATCGATCAGTTGCCTCCCTCATGCACCAGATTGGGGATCAAGCCTGAAATCCAGGAATGTGCCCTGACTGGGAATCGAATGGCAACTCGTCCATGCACGGGACAACGCTCAACCAACTGAGCCACACCAGCCAGGGCGAGAGTCTAGCTATTTTCTATTAAACCAGCCATTGAAGAAATTTAAGAAAATGTAAAATAATTCCACTATTCCTACTAATTTGGGGGGGGAGGGATATAGCTGTTTTTAATTAAAAGTATTACTATATTCAGAAGCAATGGGTTGTTATTTTTAAGTGAATTAATAAATAAATGTTTTAAGACTTTCTCAGCTTTAATTTCTGATATGGTAAATATAGATATAATATACATAAACAAAGCTCTTTTGAGGTAAGGGTATAAAGGCATCCTGAGACCAAAAAAGTTTGAGAATCGTTCTATAGCAGTATTACGTTGACCTTTCCACAGGGCAAGCTGGCAAATGACGTTTTTATAGTATCTCTGAAGTACAAAGGGCAATGATGTCTTTTAAGCACATAACAAAATTAAAAAAATTTTCCCACACTGCATTAAGTAGGTATCACAAAGGAACAAATTCACCAGCAGAGACCCTACCAGCCTCTCCGGACATTAGCCTTCCCATCTACAAAGGAGATACCAGAGTAGCCTATTTTTAGATTGCTTCCAACCGTCAATTCCAAGACTCTAGTCAGGGACCCCTAAATGATGGCCCACAGCTTGCACCTGGCCTTCAGGCCCACTGGCCCTCGGGGTATTATGAGAGATGCCCCAAGAAAGCAATGGGTTGCAGCTGAGGGAAGCTTCCCTTTCGGAAGGACTGATTTTCAGGCACAGCCCAATCCAGCCCACGGGACGTGCCCTTGCAGACAGCTGTATCTGCAGCCCCCGGGGGGAAGGGCTTCTGAGGCCCCTTCAGAGGCTCAACCTCCGTAACTCAGCTCCAGAGGCAGTGTCTCGGTTCCTTTCTCACTCTGCCGCTTGCTGGCTGGCTGACTGGGGGGCAAGTTATTTCACTTCTCTCAGCTCCAGTAACCTCATTTGTAAAACGGGATAAACAACACGCAACTCAAAGGGCCATTAGGAAGCTTCGCGAGGTGGCACCGAACAGTACCAATGATTAACATCGAGACACAGGAGAGAGTATTCCCCAGTCTCCCCCCCACCCCCCTTACCAAGTCCCATTCTCCAGTAGCTTAGGACTGCACTCTACAGTGACGCTCCCCGCCACACCAACCCCATCTCCCGCAGATCCGCGTCCTAGGACCCTCCTCAGACCTCTACTTTTCCCACCTCAGCCCCGTCACTGAGACGACCCCAGCTCAGAGGCGGAACACTGACCACTCCCCCCAGCCTCTGGTCCCCATCCCCGACCACTAAGGCTTCCTCTCCTTCAGACCTGAGGCCGCCTAGGGTCAGGCAGTGGTGGTCCAGGGGGCTGTGGCTTAGGATTCTGCCCTGGTGGGGGAGGGGGAGCCTCAGGAGAGATGGGAGAAAAACTCTCCGACCTCCCGGAGGAGCCAACGAACACTCACCGTCCATCCCTAGAGGCGGTGGTTCCGGGTGCTCAAACCGGAAGCGGTCTCTGCACTGTTTGCAGTTCCCCTGGTTACTGCGGGATTCCGGACCAATGGCGGTGGAGTTTCACTGACTGAGCCCGCCCTCAAAGGGGGTGACGTCACGCATGCGCTCTGGAACTCCTGGCATGGCCGGGCCCGCCAGCCTCCCGCGAAGCCTGTCGTTGTGCGCAGGCGCGCAGGCCC